ATAATGTATATATGTCAAATCAGAGTTCACACAGTAAGGAGAATGTTGACACTGACCTCTTACAGGGACACTGCAAGGGACAGGTTTACCCTGCAGAGAATGGGGGTCACGCACATACTGAACGCAGCAGAGGGGACGTGGAACAATGTGGACACTGGACCTGGTTACTACAGAGACATGGACATTGTTTATTACGGTGTGGTCGCAGAAGATGTCCCTACATTTAACCTAAGCCAGTATTTCTTCTCTGCTGCCACATTCATTCGGGACACACTGAGCAAACCTGACAGTAAGCAATTTTTATAACTTCCCACTATGTTGTGAAAATTATGTTAAGAGTTAAAATGACCCCCTTTCTCTCCAGATAAACTGCTGGTGCACTGTGTGATGGGAAGAAGCAGGTCAGCCACGCTCTTCCTTGCCTACCTAATGATCTACGAGAACATGACGTTGGTGGACGCCATTGAGCACGTGAAGAAACGCAGACGGATCATCCCCAACTGGGGCTTCCTGAAGCAGCTGAGGGAGCTGGATCAGCAGCTCCTGGTGGAAAAGAAAAGCTCTTCATCGGAGAGCTGACAGCACTTTGTTGTAAATCGGACTACTCCGTGTCAAGTCTAACTTCACATCATTTAATGATTTCTGCTTTGAGAAGTCTTTGGAGAGAAAAACTCAAGAGATATGACACATCCAGTTAAATCTCAAACCTACAAGTGGAAATCTAATCTAAGCATAATAATCTTATTTAGACTGAGTTTGACTAAATGAGTTTCCCAGGACCTGAATATGGACATAAATATATTTGAATAGGTTAACTCCTGAATCCTTTTAAAGTACTGTAAAAATTGACTGTGCGTGGTCTGCAAAGCTTGTCTATTATCTATTGTCTTGTTTATTATCACCCACTGTGAAAGCAATAAGTAATGTTTTTACCCATGACACAGTATTAGCAAAATATCTCATGAACCACTGGATGGATTTTAATGGAACTCTAAAAAAAGTAATTGTAAAAGTAGTAAAATAGTACTAGTCATCCCCAACATATACTCCAAGGTCTGATTGTGAAAGATCTAGTTTTAAAGCTTTGCCATTAACTACTGGAGTCATATCTCTGTTAGTAAAATATCATGAATCACAGGTTGGATTTTAATGAAACCCATGACAGTAATCAGTGGGTGTTCATCCACAACTCATTAAATTTTGGAGTCAAACTAATCCAAGATGGCTACCACAGCTAAATGACATTAACAAATACAAAAACGATTTTAAAACAGCCAGGTTTATAGATATAGAGCTAATTTTGATGGCAGTTGTAGCTGAAAGTTATCCTCACCAGGGGCGATTCTAGAATCTGTAGGGGTCTGGGGGTCCCCCCCCCCAGAAAATTTTGAATAGATGCAATTTCCTGCATTCTGGTGTATTTTAACAGGTTGTTAAGGATCTACGCTCAACTACATAAGTAAAGACTTGATTCAGTAACTATTTTAGAGAGCGTGGCACAAGAAGTGGCTTGACCAACAGCTCTCCTTGTGTGAATAGAGCACGCTTCACTTCGCTCACCCCCCCCACACCACTGCAGGTAAGGGGTGTTTTGCTTTGGGACAAATTGAGATTGCCGATTGGTCAGTTGCTGACAAGCCTACTCGAATGACAGGTGGCATCAAGGGTCCGACTCGTGCAAGAAAAAAATCAATAGATTTTACCGGCCCATTTGTGCCATCCATTATTCCAAACTTATTGCGAATGTATTCAATATTTTGGTGAATCTAAGGTTTGAGAACTGAGTTTCCTTACAAAATTGTAATGATGTTTTTGTTTTCAGGGGTGCTAATTCATTCAACTTTTATTTATACAGGTTAGTCCCATTGAGCCTCGGGGACTCATTTACAAGAGAGACCTGAAAATTAGTTAAAATTTAGGGGTGACGAGCACCCCCAAAAGAGGCTAAAATTGCCACTGATCATCACATTATCTGAACGCTGTCGCCTCTCGTGAGAATTGCACGAGAACTCGCATAATTCTTGTTTTGGTACTTTTTCCCAGACAAAACCTTGAGATGTCAAAGTTTAAAGGGACTTAGCGAAGTTGTGACTAATACTTTAATATTTTGAATACTTAAAAAAAAAAATCTCTGGCAATAAATGTTTCTAATCAAATGAGAATAAGCACATAAGTACATGGTCAATCATAATTTATTCTTATGCTAAAATGTACAGCATTTTAAGTGACTGACAAAAGGAGAAAAAGTCATAAATACAAGAATGTCATTCTGTTCGACTCTAGTGCACATAGCCAGATAGTTCCCTCTTGTTCTTACCAGCAACTCTGTACAGGTACAAAGGCTACAAAAGAGCAATATTAACAAAAACAAACAAACAAAAAAACAAACAAACAAATACAAGTTGCGTTTTACATGCAATCCATTAGCTTAGTTTGGTCTATTCACAGGCTATTCTTCTACAATTCGGTAAAATATAAATCCCACATTTTATAAAGATAGAAAACAAATCTACAGATGGAATGAAAACGTAGCTTTTAAAGGCATTATGTAAAATATTGACTTTGGACTAAATTTATATCTTTATTGTTATTTCATCATTATAATCCTTTAATTCTTTTTAAATTCTGCCACACTTCTTGATATTGTGAAATGTTTTAGAATTTTCAGGGTACAAACACTGAGATATACTTTCTTATTTTCCGACAGAAATCAGTCTGCTTTATTAAACAGAAAGCTGCCTCGAGGAGATTTGTTACAAAAGGCTTCAGAATTATACATACATAGCAATAAAACCTCTCAAACCAAACAGAAAACAAGACTAAGTTTACATTTTTTTTACATTAGATTTAACAAAATATAGTTTCATTTTTGTCCCTGTGGAGGGAAACCTAATAAAGGCCAGATATTTTTTTTAATGGCTTGCTATTAAGCACAACACTTGTACAGTACTACTCAAATGCACTGTCACTAACAGAGACGGAAGCATGCTTTTTGTCACTTTACAAAATAAGTACAATAATTTAAATATACAAAGGCATGAGTATAGTACAAACTAAATGTCAGCACTGTTAGACAGGTACACTGAACAGGTTCAAACAGCCACTACCTCCACTTGTAGCATTTAATGGCTTCATTTGAGGCTGCTACACAACTGCAAGAGCGCTGATGAAATCTCTACGTCTGAGCTCTGAACCCGTCTGGACTAAAGACACATCAGAGACACTAACACTAATTAAATAGATTTTCATCATAACGATGTAAGGCTTCCCATCAGGAGGAACAAAAATACCTTTTCTTTTTTGAAACGTTAGCTTTAAAGTTAACTCACTGATGAAAATTTTTGCATTCTTTACAAGTGCTGCTGCTGGTTTTTAAGTAATAATAAAACATAACAAAAAACAAAAAGACACTGTCAGAGGAAAACAAAAAAACAACAAAAAAAACCCACAAGGCCTGATCTGGGCATCGTTCAAACGGCCAAATGCACGTGAGAAAGAAGCAGCTCAGTCCTGCGGAGAGCTATCGCCTGATTAAAGGCCCTTTCAGGGACTGCTTGGACATGCCCGTGTTCATGTAACCATGGTGACCAGCTGGAGAGTACACCATGTTGCCATGTGGCGGAGCCTGCATGGGCTGCTGGGGGTATGGCTGTGTTCCCATCATGCCCATCTGCATAGAGTACTGGGGTGACTGGTTCATATAGGCATGGTTGCCATGGTAGCCACTGTTCATCATAGGCTGGCTCATGCTGTAGCCATTCATGGCGTTCAGGGAGGACATGTTCATGGAGTTGACATTGTAGCCTGGCGCCGGCATGATGTTCATGCTCATGTTCATGCGTGGCATGGCGGCCAGCGTCCTGGATGGCGCCTGCATGGCTACAGTCTGTGCCGGCCGGGAGTACATCTGCTGCTGGTGGTGGGACAATGAGGCCGACTTGGAGCGTGCAGAGATGTGAGTCTTAGATGTCATTTGGGGCATCCGCTGCGAGGACGGGATGCCCATGTTGGGCTGTAGCATCATGTGTGGTGGCGAGCTGAGATTCGGGGGAGGGGTCATGGTGGCCTGCACCTGTGGGTTGGAGACCCTGTGTGGGGTCTGGGACAACGATACTAGACTGGAGTGCTGTGAGGAGAGCGAAGGCGTGTTTGCATAAGATGTGATGGGGTGTGAAGCGGAGTGGTTGAAAGGCAGGGAGTGGGGGTGTTCGATGAATGTGTTGGTGAACTGCTGCAGCTTGGCCAGACTCAGGCCAGATGACTGAGAGTAGTGCCCACCGCCGTACTCCCCCTGATGGTTGATCCTCTCGTAGAGTGCAAAGTTCGGGTTGCCAGACTCAGGAATGTCTGCCAGCTGCACGGCGGTGGTGAAGTTGGGGGGTATGGCGCACTGAGCCATGGGCTGTTGCTGACTGTGCTGATTGTGAAGGCTATGCTGAGCGTGCTGATTGTGCTGGCTGAGCTGATTGTGCTGCGGGTGGTGATTGTGGTGGTGACTATGCTGGTTGTGAGGATTGTGTTGACTATGCTGGGTTAGCTGATTGTGTTGGCTGTGCTGATTGTGTGGACCGTGCCTGCCGTGGGAGTTGTGTTGACTGTGCTGGCTGCGCTGGCTGTGTTGACTGTGCTGGTTATGCTGGCTGTTGCTGGGGGGCCTCTCCACCACCACGCAGCCCTGCGGCGACTTGACGTTGCAGTGCGTCGGCGAGCTCAGGCTGTTCTGCTGAATCATCCCGCAGCTGCCCGGGTTAACGGCAGCCATTTGTTGGCTTACGGCACAGCTGCTCTGGGGCAGACCACTGGGGGGGATGGTGCCATATGAGCAGCTGTTCTGGGAGGGGCCTGTGCCACAGATGCTACCCCCCATGGTGGAATCGTAGCTGCTGGGGTTCTCGTAGTTTTCTGTGGTACTCTCAATGCTGCCCAGATCGCTAAATCCACTGTCCACCACCTGCTGGGAGTGATCTGACACCGACGGCACATCCATCATGGGACTCGTCTCCATGTTGTGGAGCGAGGGCACAGAGATGGCGCTGTGGTCAGGGCTGATCTGAGTGTAGCCACTCTCGAGTATGGAGACAGCCGGGCTGTTAACAGAGCGTACAGACTGGCTGGGATGGGACTGCGCTGAGGAAAGGGGACTGCTGTGGTTTGACTGAGGGCAGTCGTCCAGTGAAGTGAGCTGAGGGCTTTGGGCAACATGGGCATAGCTCCGCAGATTCCTGCAGGGCTCCTGGCTCTCTACACAGTCCTGGAAAACGTTCTCTCCCTCACTTTCTTGGGTCAGGGACTGAACAGCTTGAACAGTCTCTGAGTCAATCTCCGTGCAGACGGGGTGATCCTCTCCCAGCATGGGACTGATTTTAGAATTCCCTGCAGGAGGAAGAGGTGGCTGATTTGGACAAGGGCTGGGTGTGCTTTCCTCCTCCGACTCAGAGTCTGCAGGATTATCCGAGTCTGCAGCCGCTATCGAGGCGACTGCTGCAGCTTCAGGTGGAGGTGCCGTCTCTGTACTTTCCATTATATCCTGCATATTTGCTGCAGCAGTAACTGGTTCTTTGTCACTACACAGTTCTTTACCAACCTGCTGACTCAACTCAGAGCCGTTGTCTTCTTCTTGATCTAAAAAAGGTTGGGTGTATTTTGGTATGTCTTTTAAACTTTGTCCCGGCTCATCTGCACTGCTGTCAGGCGCTGGCGTTTTTCTACGATTTTCATCTTCATCATCAGCATCCTGATCCTCTGTCTGAACTCTTTTTTCCTCATCGTCATCATTTTCGTTCTTCTGTGACGCAGCACCCTCAGTACTGAGCTCCACATCTTTGGCTGGTGAGTCCTGATCATGTCCACATTCCTGCTGGTCATCCTCGTGGGGTTCTGGTGAGTCCGGTCGGTCCACGGGCCTGGGCGACTCAGGATCAACAGACGGAGCAGGGGAACACGCCGGTGATGCTACAGGTGATCCCTCA